GTGCAGGACACACACCTGTTAAGAATAACTGGTATTCTCAAAAGGTGAGTCAATGATGTCAGCTCTGAGTAGGGGACATTCAAGTGAGAACTGAACACTGTGCACCCAGATGAGGAAGGGTTGGCTGGGAGGTGTGAGGTGAAGTAGTGGTTGAGGACAGAGGTCCAGGCTGGGAGGAGAGGTGGTGGGGGCCTCACTGCGCAAGGCCTTAGCTTGCGATTTTAGCCTTTTTTTTTTTTTTTTTTTCTTAAGACACGGTCTCACTATGTAGCCCTGGCTTGCCTGGAACTCACTATGTAGGCCAGATTGGCCTCGAACTCAGAGATCTGTCTGTGCCTCCCAAGTTCTGGGATTAAAGGTATGAGGCACCATGCCTGCCCTGAGTCTGCTCTATTTATTTTATGTGTATGAGTGCTTTGCCTGCATGTATGTAAGTGCACCCATGTTTGTGCAATGCCTAAAGAGACCAGTAGAAGGCACAGGATCCCCTGGAGCTGGAGTTATAAATGGTTGTGAGCTGTCATATGGGTGCTGGGAACCAAACCCCGCGCCTTCTGCAGCAACAGCCAGTGCTCTTGACCTCTAAGCCATCTCTCCAGCCCCAGTTTTAATGCTTTTTTAGAGAAGCCACTGAAGAGAGGATGAAGGTATAAAATAGGATCACTGTGGAGGTCATGTGAACTGCGACCACAAAGTTCATGAATGGAGACAGGAAGGCAGTGGAAGTTACAACAAGAATTGGGGATGGCCTGGGGTCACATTTAGGTGTAGGGGTGGGGACAGGGGTGCATGCATTCAAGATAAGTGCTAAGGGATGGAAACTGAGAGGTGGAATGAAGGGATGAAGGAGGACTCGGGTGTGGCCTGAGAAGGAGTCAGCACCCAGAGGGAAGCAACAAGGCAGGGCAGGTCCAGGGAGCACACAGGGCTTGGCCTGGGGATGTGGACGAGGTCAGAGCATGTAGGAAGCCCTGTGCCCTAAAGGTTAGAGACCCAAAGAACAAGACTGGAAGCTGGGTGAGTTGTGAGCGGAAGCTTCTCGGAGCAGCACCAGGGAGGCAGGGAAAGAATTTCTGGAAGGAGATACACCCACCAGGAGCTCCAGAGATAACCCTGAAGTCCCTGCAAGTGCCCAGAGGGGGCCATGTGCTGCCAGTGCCCAGAGCTGGCCACGTGACTGGGTGAAGGAGCCCTGCTCTGTCATAGTGGTCCTCACCCACAGGTGTGCTCCAATGGCTCAAGGATCCAGAATAGCAACCCTTAGCTGATTTAGACCACATCACTCTGTTCCAACATTGCCATATCATGCCAAGCAATGTAAGAGGTCTGCAGGAAGCAACGAGGTGCCTCTGGGACCTGCCTGTAAACCACAAAGGGCTCTGATGGGCAGGCATCCCAAATAGGGTGTGGACAGTGTCCCGGCAAAAAGACAAATGAGTGAGGACAAGACAGGGCTTCTATAGGTCACTACATCGTTCTAACTCACAGCGTGTGAGAAGAAAGTGAACACGGTGTGCGTTGGGCTGATGCAGGAACTAAGGCACAGAGGTTAAATGACTTGTCCATGAGCACATGGCCAGCAGTGGAGGAGCCAGGACTCTCAAATCTAGGACTCTGATGACAAAGCACAAGTCACAAACCGGTCTGCTTTTCTGCCTCCTTCCTCCAAACCAAACATGGAGTTTCTAAGCATCAGATCACAAAATTCGAACCTATATCACTTTTGACCAAAAGTAGAGATTCTTTCTTCTCTTTTAAAATATTTCATTGACAAAGGTTGAATATATTCAGGCACATGATGCAATTTGATACACATATACGCTGTATGCAGATTACCTCCATCAAGTTAATTAACACATATACCATCACTTGCTAAACATCTGATCCTTAGACCATACTCATCTTCAACTTAAATGCTGCATCCGTCATCTCTGCATTTCCTTCCTCCAGATCCTGGACAACCACTGTTGCTCAGACCTCTGCTTCTATGAGTTTGACTCTTTCAGATTCTACATAGAAGCTGTATTGGCCGTGCTTTTCTGGCTTATTTTACTTAGTTCAATGTCCTCTAGATTAATAAATGTTGTCACAAATGGCACCAGTCCTTCTTTTCATAACTGGATTAATATTCATGTGTGTGTTGTGTGTGTGTGTGTGTGTGTGTGTGTGTGTGTATCTATCTCCCATTGTTTCTTTATCCACTTATCAACAGACAAGTTTCCATAATTTGGGCCCAGTGAGTAACACTTCAATGGCCATTTGTACACAGGCATTGATTTCATTTCCTTGGGGTATATGCCTAGAAATGATTGTCCAACTGTATTTGTACTTTGGATTATTTTATGAACCATCATACTGTATTTCATAATGACTGAACAATTTATTGCAGGGGGGTTCGAACCAGCGACCCCCGCACAGTTATGATTGGGGATGAGTAAGTGCACTGTTCTCCAGCCCATGCCACCCCCAGTACTGGGAACACTCGGGCACAACAGGGAGCCTAGTCAAGCAGGGACTCATTTATTGCAGGTGTTACAGAGCTTATAAAGGCATCTGGAACTCCCCCTCCCCCCTTAGGGTGTATCTTAAGGATGGTCACACAGTGATCATGCACTCCTCAGCAGTGCGGAAGTATCCTTCAGACTTTTTAAAACAAGTCAGGCCGCGCCCCAGTAACTTCCTCTTGGACCCCTGCAAGGCAGGGCCTTTAGGTCCCCACAATTTACATTCCCACCAATGATGGACAAGCATTCCTTTTTCCCCACAACTCACCAACACTTATGATTTGGTCAGTTTTCCAGTATTTAAGAGAAGCGAAAACACTTTCCCATCAGCATAGTAAATGCTCACAGTTAATAAGTGGCCTCATCTGGAGACCTCCTCACCAGGCCAAAGACACAGGACTTTGAAATCAGAAAAGACTTGGGTTCAAATCATGGCTGTACTCCCTAGTGAATAGGTGTGCGTATCTTGATTTGTAAAAACTGAGTCCTAACTTGCAAGGCAGTCTCAAAGAGTCAGTGGTACAACTGAGGTGAGAACATGTTTCACACATTCAATTCTCTTCTCTTTATTTCTAGAATGTACTGCCATGCCTCCAAAGTTAATACAATGAAAGCTAGTTACTCATCAACAGGCTTTTGTTGGTGGATTAAATTTATCACACAAAAAAACCAAAAAACAAAGTCTGGCAGAAATTGGTCCTTGAATTTTTTCATGTTTTAGGTTTTAAGGTCATTAAAAAATGCATTTTGAGGGGCTGGAGAGATGGCTCAGCAGTTAAGAAAACTGGTTGTTCTTGCAGAAGACCCAGGTTCGAATCCCAGCACCCACATGGCGGCTAACAACTGTCTGTAACTCCAGTCCCAGGGGATCTGACAGCCTCTTCTGACCTCCACAGGCATTGCACAACACAGGTGCACTTACCTACATGCAGGCAATACATGCATACACATAAAATAAATTAAATTTTTTTAAAAGTTTTAAAAAATGCATTTTGTACAATACAGTGAAAAAATGTTTAATATAATAATGTACCTGGCATGGTGGTGCATGCCTTTAATCCCAGCACTCAGGAGGCAGAGGCA